AGATAGTGAGTCCAACAAGTTTTTTTTTGGGGGGGGGAGGCCCATCCTTGCTTTATCCATGTTATTACAAAGGTATAGTGTTAGCAACTAGAGGTAAAATGTGGTCTTAGCATGATGGGTATAGATGAATGAAATCAAAAACTCCACCTGTCTGAAGGTCAGAGGTCAGCACTTAAGAAGCAAATATATTTTTAGCAATAATGCCAAAGTAATTTGACGTGGGGAATACAATTTTTAAGCAATTAGAACAGGAGCAACTGTAGAGGTGAATGGCCACCACAGGCTCATAGGGAGTGGTATTATTAGGAGGTATGGGCTTGTTGGATTAGGTGTGCCCTTCTTAGAGAAAGTGTGCCACTGTGGATGGACTTCGGGGTTTTCAGAAGCTCAAGCCATGCCCAGTGTCTCTCTCTTCCTGCTGCCTGAGGATTCAGAAGTAGAACTCTCAGTTACCTTGGCAATAGCATGTCTGCCTGTGTGCCCACTCTGATGATAATGGACTAAACCTCTGAACTGTAAGCCAACCCCGCTTAAATGTTTTTCCTCCTAAGAGTTGCTGCGGTCATGGTGTCTCTTCATAGCAACAGAAACCCTAACACAGGTTAGAATTGAATACCTGTTAGGAAAAACTACCTTAATCTCTCTTATTTTTAAAATTTATTTTATTTCTCAAGAGAGTTTCACAAGGTAGCCCAGGTTAGCCTTGAACTTGTGAACCCTTGCCTTGCTTGCCCGAGTGCTCTGGCTAAAGGCTTGTGTCCCACACCTGGGTCACCTTACCTCTTGCTTTATTTATCCTTTCTTAAGCATTTATATTTCTAATTTAAGCACTAAATCGTATACAATGAGGGGTGTTGTGGGTTAGTCTTAGATGTGTAACTTCTTAGTTAAAATTGACTGGCTGGGACACTTGAAATGGTTCACTGACTGACCTCCTGAGTCCTCAGACAACCCTGCAGGGCATGTGACATTAACTGACCTCATTTTCGAGATAAGAAACCAAGCTCAGGAGAGTTGTTTGCCTGAGTGATAACAGGGAGTGGGGCAGATGCTGCGGGTGTCAGTGCCACGGTTGCGGCAGACTGCCCTGAGTAGGTGAGATGTTGCCACTGTCCCCACAGCCTGTGCTGTGTCTTTGTCTCACGCTGAACCATCTCTAAGGCTACAGGAGCCGGTGTGACTTTCCTGTAACTGCAACCCAGAAGAGTGGGAGAGTCAGTGCCTACAGTCATGACCCTCAAGACTAAGGAGAGCTGTGGACCAGTTCTCCAGCATCCTCCCCTTCAGAAAGACATATTTAGATGTGTTCAGTCTTTAGAGCTATGGTCGGAGTAAGTTGCCTGAAGCACTGCCTTCATTTGGTGCCGTGAATGGCCATTCTCAACTGTGTCTTTCTTCCTGCTTTTGAGATCATTTCTTAGAGCCGTCACTAGGTCCCAGTAGGAGTGTCCAGTCACTGGTCAGATGGCAGTGAAGGTGGTAAGTGGATGGTGACAGCCTCCGGCAGGCTGTGTTAGGACGGTTTCCAAGAATCACAACTTGCATTGAATTGGGATGACAGGGTGAAAACCCAGAATAGTCAGATTCTAGAGTAGCTTTGAATTTGACTGGTTGGGACACATGTATTGCTATGCCCTGATCTGTATTCCAAAGTTGGCCCCTTTTTAATAATCGTCTCAGAAACCTTAAAGAAAAAAAATTCGGGTGAGACCAGCCAACTACTGGGACGTGCCACGAAGCCAGAGAGGTTCCAAGGCATACCTAGAGTCATGTGTCGCAGATTGTGTTTAAAATAAAACATGTACTGCAAGCCTGTAAATGGCAGGGCTGCAAAAGGATAGTTTGCAGGTCGCTCACTCATGCTAAGCCCAGAACTAGGAAATGAAGGAGTCCCTTGGACCCAGGCTAGGGTATCTTTTGAGAGTATCTCAGCAATGCAAACCTTCAGATTGTCCAGAAGGAGCTCTCTCCCACCAGAGAACAGCTCACCTTTGACAAGCAGCTCATCTGAGACAGCTGCATGGGCTAAAGCTTGTCCTCCCGAGAGGACCTTCTGTCCCATCCTCTCATTGCCTCTAGAGCAGAGGTTTTTCAACCTGTAGGTCACCACCATCAGAAAATATATTTTTTTTTCTGAAGGTCTTAGGAACAGAGACACTGCTCAGTAGCAAAATTCCAGTTATGAAGTAGTAGCTAAATAAATTTATGGTTGGGGTTTCCTAAGACCATCAGAAATATGTGTTTTCTAATGGTCATGACCCACAGGTTGAGAACCACTAATTAAGATCAATAATTAAGAGAAAGCCTTACCAGACAGCATCCCAGCAGGGAAAGACAATGTCCGTCCTGGAAAGAAACAGGCTAGTCCCTCAATTGGAGGACCTGGGTAATGCATACCTATAGGATGGCCTAGGGAAAGATATGTAGAATCAGTCTTTAGTTTTCGAATATATTTATTTTTATGTGTATGAGTGTTTTGCCTGCATTTATGTCTGTGCATCACATCCATAGTGCCTACAGAGGTCAGTTATTGATCCCCTGGGATTGGAGTTATACACCGCCGCTAACCACCATGTGGATATAGGGAATTGAACCTGGGTCCTCTGGAAGAAGAGCCAGCGCTCTTGACTGTTGAGCCATCTCTCCAGTTCCAGGTGGGAGCAATCTTGAGTGTGTAAGATGGAGGACAGGGTAATGACCGGCACAGAAATATTCTCTTTCCAATCAGGATTGAGCAGCTTGGAAGACTACCTAGGAATGACATGTTATACATGCTCATTGGTTTTTGGTGTGTGTGTGTGTGCATGTGTGTGTGTGTGAATCTGCAGCTACACACTCATGGCATATATGGGGAGGCTGGAGTGCCACCTAGGGGGCCACCAGGAACATTGTCGACCTCCTTTGAGAAAGACCTTTCTTTGAATTGGAACTCACCAGTTAAGTCAGACTGGCTGACCAATGAGCTCCAGAGACTCTCCTGTCTGTGCCTCTCCAATGCTGGAATCAAGAGGCCATGCCACCATACTCAACACGTTCACATGGACTTTGAGGACTGAGCTTACGCTTACAAGTCAAACACTTCTACCAACGGAACCACCCCCCTTTAGCCCCTCTTTCTAGTTTTAAGGTGAAGATTCTAACTTGTTCGCCTAGACCAGCTTTGCGCCCTTAGAGAATGGGGGAAGTTCTTTACTAGTGTTCTTAAGCAACAGTCGTTTACTGCACCTTGAACTGAGTCCAAGAGAGGATGATACCAGAGGAAGAATGAATGTGCCTGTTCTCTTCTGGAAAGTCATCTGCATTAGCAAAATGATCTAAGCGCGCTCTCAAAACGCGAGCGTACTTGTCACGTGTGCCTTTTGGGTGAGTGCAATGGTTTGGGGTCTCAGCTGAGCTCACTGGGTTGATCTTCGGCTTGAGAATTCAGCTACCTTAAAGAGATACTGAGCTTTAGAGAGTTTGTGTCAGAGTTCCTACTTCCTTCCACTTCCTTCCACTTTCCTTCCGGCCGATATCCTTGGGGTGAGCGGCACCTATGTACGATCTTTGCATTAGCAACATTACAACACCAGTTAAGATTGTCAAGATATTTTAAATAACTTTATTCTTAAATTTAACAAGCTCTTATTAGAAATGCTTTGGTATCAATACAATAAAAATATACTGGTTCCCCCAACCCACTGAGTCATGTCAAGTAACTGGAAGAGTTAGCATTTATTTTCCCCAGTTTTGGGGGGATTTTTTTTCCATGAATAAAGACTACTATTTATTTATGTGGCTTACTATGGGAATAATTATATGTATATATATATATGTATATATATATATATATATATATATATATATTTGGACTTTGGGAAAAAGAAACTAAAGTATTCAGAAGAGAAATTTTCAGGCATTTCTTGGCTTTTCCAAAGGTTCTTCAGGTGGGCACTAAGCCTCTCAGATGACCTTTTTCCCCAGCTTTGCCATTCTTATCCTTAAAGCTGTAAATTAAAGTAAAAAAAAAGAGCAAGTTATAAAGGAATTACAATTTTTACTCCAAATGACCATTTCATAGAAGGCAGGAAAGTTGAGAACATACCTCAGATGGTTTTATCCAACAGCGTGAGCATTGTCATAGTAGCATAAAAAGATAGAAATAATGAGCCGTGGTTAACGTAGGACAGGAGTAGGTGGAGAGCTAGGAGGAGCCTACGTCTACAAAGGTCAGAGGAGGAGCAGGGCGCACAGTACAGATGGGTGCCAGCCTAGATATCTATTCCTTTACACCAATGTTGTGCACATTCTTAACTATGTACCACCGAACCAAAAAAGATACTAACGCTTAAACTATATCTAGTGATTAAGTATTGTAAAAAAAAATCTCATTAAGCTTGGTTGGCCAAAGGATAAGCAATGACAAGCGTAAGTGTCTGTATGAAACAACGTGAACTAATAATTGGGCATGGATGTGTGATTATGCTTTCGAGTGGCAGGTGTCTCTCTGAGTATGTCCTACCGCTGATGAAGAGTTGGCCGTAGAAAACATTTTTAGAAAACGTGGGTGTAGAATTTATAGCATTCCTTTGGCGTCCTGGTATCATGCCTTAATCTTTAGGACCTTTGAGTATAGCTGCCTCAGTCATGTTCCAAAAGTTAAAAGATGCTTTCAAGGCACTGGGCAAATGATTATATTAATTATGTAATATTACATTCATGTGTAAAACGGCCCAAGAAGCAGCCATTTAACTAATTGTACAATTTTGTTTTAATGAAACAATAAAAGGGAAGACCTGTTTTTTCCCCCTCATCTCTATGGCAAACGTTATTATCTTTTAACCAAAGGAATGATTCTAACTCCTAAAGGCCTTTTGTAAAAATCTAAGAAGAGATGGGGACCTGCTTCTGTCCTGAGGCCATGTTCGTTGTTGTGCTAGTTAACTCTGTGAGATAGTTTCATTTCAAGGAAGGTAAAAAGCATGATTTCCCTCTGAAAGCAAAGAGGAATGATCACTTCCACCCGCAAGACCAAGAATATTCCTTTGACTTCAGGATGTGTTGAGAGATTTTCCTTTGCTCAGTCAGCAGGCTGGGCTCTGGTGCTGGGAGCTGCTGGGTGGAGACCTCTGAGGAGCAGCCTGCAATCCCACAGCAGAAGAGGCAGCAGGCAAGGCTTCATGAAGGGCCGCTCTTGGGTTTTGTGGCCCCTTGCATTACCAGTGCCGGGAGAGAGCAGGGATAAGGGATTGTTTAAAGGTCTGTTTTACGGCAGGGACAAGATCCTGTTCCCTACAGTTATGTCTGTAGACAGAGCCCACCCTGTGTCCCAGGACACACAGTGAAGTCAGCTAGCACCAGTATTCCTTTTCCCAAGGCTGTGGCAATAGCCCTAATTCCAGAAGGGGGTGTGGAGATAGAGCAGGCCCAGGTGATGCAGGGAGCATCTCCCTAAACTATGTGCCATCATTCTCTTGACCCCTCTCTTCTGACCTTCTCTGATCCCAGTCCCATTCCCCTACAACCACTCAGACAGTTTTAGCTGCTTCAACTTGGTGGATGAGAGATTGGTGTTCCACCCTCAGTCTTCCTTGACCCCTGCTAGCAGTTCCTAAATCAGGTTTTTCTACCTCTTCACCCCAAAGTACCATTGATGTTTTAATGGTCCACAGACTATTGATCTGGGCCAAGAATGGGTATGTGAGGTCTACCAAAGAAAGATAGTTGTCTAGTTGTTGTTGGTGGGGGTAGTGGAATCTTATGGAAAGCTTGTGGAAGCCACATAATAGTGGGTGTGTCTGAATCATATCAATCAGGTAGACGTAAGATTACCTAAGTTTTTCTGTCATGTTTTACAGTGTTCAAATTTTTACTAAAATATATGGTCTTTAGACTATCCACACTGGTCCCATTTTCATCTTTCTTCCACCTACAAATACTCTTTCAAGTTAAAAACTCTGTGTGTGTTTATGTGATCTATGCACTGGTATGCACAGGAGGCCACAGCAGGACGTCAGGTGTCTTCCTCTATTAATTACTCCATGCCTTGTTGCCTTGGGACAGGGTCTCTCCCTGAACCAGAAGCTCACTGTTCTGGCTAGGCTGGGTAGTCAGCAAGGTGCTGGGATCTGCCAGTCTCTGCTTCTGCAATGATGGGGTTGCAGGCATGCACACCCATGTCTGTTTTTTTATATGGGCGAATGGAATCAAACTCATGTCCTTATTTTATAGACCAAGTGCTCTTACCCATGGGTGTGCTATCTCCCACATCCCTACGAATTGCTTTTGAGATAAGATTTTGATAAATACACATATAACAAGCAAAAGAGACTTAATTCTTAATTATTGTGTCTACCAGAACTATTAGTATTTAATAGGCTATCTGTACTTTAATAAAGAAGTTGACTTAAATTGTGTTTTTTTTAATACTGTAGCATCTCTCTCTCTCTCTCTCTCTCTTTCTCTCTCTCTCTCTCTCTCTCTCTCTCTCTCTCTGTGTGTGTGTGTGTGTGTGTGCAAGGCCGAAAGCACAATGTAAAATGTACTTATGAAATTGAAATTGAAGTACATAGGTAGTAGCTATGTTCTTAAAGTACATAGATGGTCCCTGAAAGCATAATATGATTAGCTTACTTTTTAAAAGTCATTCATACTAAACACCTCCACTCTAATCTATGTGATGAATTGGAAGGCAGAGATGTAAAACAACATCACAATGAAACGTAAGGAATTTGGAGCATTCTCTTTACAAGATATTTAGTTCGATAGTATAAGACTGCATTGTTACTTTGTCTGGAACAGGTTTTCCTGTTTTCACAATTTTAGTTCTGCAGCATGGTTTGTGTTGTGTGGAAATGTTAGTCACTTCCTGCCATTTTTCTTGGGGGTAAATGTTAACGTGGTTAGGGGGAGAAAGAGTGAGGGTGTTTGGGAGGAGCTGGCTAACATCCCAGATCAAAAAGGGAGTTTTTGCTTTTGTTTTTGTTTTTTTTTTTTACAGTGGTTCACGTCAACACAACTGCCCATAAATATGGCGTTCCTTTTCTCTGTGCCTCATGTGTTGTTTTAAGAACCAATTTCAGAGGAAACGATTGACCGCAGACAAAGCTCTCTCTCCAAATGGAAAGGAACTTAGTATCCGCAGCTGTCCATTGTGGGGGAACATTACTCCAGAGTCTGAGGAATATCTGTGAGTGAACATTTCTCAAGAGGGTAGAAATTCTTCAGATGATTCAACTTACAATGGGTTCACCTAACTCAAGGACTTAGAAGAATGGAAGAATGTCCCTATTATGGGTCTATTAGCAACACAAGATTGGGCTTATGGTTTGACGAGGAAGAAACATCTTGAATTTATAGGTTCTGCCACACTTCTATAAAACTATCAGGTTATACTCGCTGACCTGTCGGCTACTGAGTAGTTATTGCTTTTCAATGCCCATTCTTCAATTAGCAACATTTAAAATGACCTTCCATTTCTAACATTTAGAGCCTGTGCATTTGTATAATTAGACTTAGTTTTTTCGCTAGGGTTTGTTCAGTTATTCTAATTGTTTGTGTCAGGTCCTTATTTATTTTGCCACAAATGACAACTATTTGCTATGTTTGAGTGATAACAAGGAACTTAAAATTGAGGATCCGTCAGTTTGCAGAAAAAGTTACAGTTACTTTCCATTCAGTGTTAAAATGGCTAAGGAGATAGATAGAAAGCCATAAAAACTTCATAGAGAATGAGAAATGTAGCTATATAGAAAATAGAAAAAATTAAATATGCTAATTTGTTGGAGAAAAGTTGGAGAAGACTATGAAAAGTTGAGGCATAGATGATGCAAGATAAAATGACATTCTATGCTTAAAATGTAGAAAATTAAAGAACCAATGTTAATATAAGTATAAAAGTATACAGAAAGAAGATCTAGCAGAGTAATAAAATGAGAGGAAAATAGTCCGTGTTATCTATTACCTTGCAAAATTAAGGCTACTTGTTAATTTATGAGTAACGTGTACGTCACGGGGAGCACAGACAAGTAGTTGTTATTGGATTCCGCGGGGAAAGTCTGCTTCTGATGACCAGGGACATGAATTAGCAACTCTAATTATTCACACTTGGTATTGCTCTCTCATAGAAGACACATTTCCAGTAGCTAAGGGCACTCAGTGTGATATTGAAACCTCATGACGGAGTTTTTCACTTTCATTATCGTTTGAAGTGACTTACTCTGGCCTGATGATAATAATTTGGATCGGCGTTAAGAAAGGCTGTCAGTGAGCGTTAGTTTATGAGGTGGCCATAGGAGCTGAAAGTCAGAACGTTCATTAACACATAGAAGACGATCACATAAGCAAACAGCAGTAGCATGCCTTGTCATTTTTATTACCTGTTAAGGACGGATCCTCAGTCCCATCTCCAGCCATTGGGACGCCCGGGGGAGAGTGGTGGGCAGGGCTGCCTAGGCGTTCCTCTTGCTCTTTCAGAGATATGGAATTTTTGTGGGGAGATTTATGGTTTGTGTTTTCATGAGGTCTAACTTCTGATCTCTTTCTAGGAAGCGGGGTTGGTTTGGTTGGCTGGTAAACCTGACTACAGGGAGCTACGGGATGGTAGGATGGCATCTCGGCTTGTCCTCCATCCTCCTCCCCCTCATCATCGATCACGACCAGCTCGGCATGGATGACCCCGTCGTACCCCGTCAAAAGCTTCTTTTCTCCCTCATTGTCGTCTGCCTGCTGATACCCCATGAAAATCATCGTCACCGGTTCTGCGTCATCCACATCGGAAGGCAGAGAATGAACGATGTTGTATCTTACATCTTCAGCCTCCTCCTGGCAAGTGGGTGAAGATCCCCGAGGTCCTGATGTCCCAGGACTCGCTCTGTGGGGGCTCAGTCCTGTCCTGGGAGAAACCTCATGTTGGTTCTGCCTGGTGTTTGATTCTTCCCAGGGAGTCCCCTCCCTCTTTTGCTGGGTGTGGACCATCTCTTCTGCTTGCTGAACCGTTGATCGGGGCTGAGGTGTTGGCCGAGTAGGGCTGGTGTGAGAGGGACCATTGCTTCTCCCCTCTGAAAGCCCATCGTTCAGATTGTGCATGGATTCATTTGCATGGTTGGCCAGTCCGTTAGCTCTCATCATTATCCTTTCTTGAAAGTTTGGTCCAGGGCTTACTCTTTCTCTCTGTGGGGTCAGAGGCCTGCAAAATGGATTGGCATATACGGGCTCGTGGTACTCTGTGGGTGACTTAGAGTTCCTCTCTGAGGCTTGTCTTAGAAGATCCTCCACTTCGACAGGGGCAAGGCCATCAGTGCCATTGTAGGTCGTGTTCTGATTGGAGCTGACGGCATAGACGGACTTCTGCCCATCATCGTATACCTTTATTCCCGTGCTTTTAAAGTCATCTGATGGGAGGGGTATTGAAGACAGAACAATACTTTCTCCAGTCTTCAAATCCTTTTCAACTTTAATTTCCATGGCATACAAAGCTGTTAAAAGACACATTTAATGCAAGATTTAGTACCCCCTTTCTCTTATAAATGAGTTTGTTTGCTTTTATACCCTTTGATGGTCTTTTAAATGACATTTAAAAACTTTTAACTCAGCAGTGGTGGCACACACCTTTAATCCCAGCACTCGGAAGGCAGAGGCAGGTGAATCTCTGTGAGTTCGAGGCTGGCCTGGCTAACAGAGAGAGTTAGCCAGAGCTACACAGAGAAACCCTGTCTCGAACAAAACAAAGTAGAGCAAAGCAAAGCAAAGTAAAACAAAACAACCCCCCCCAAAAGACCACCTCTGTGATTTGGATGCTAGAGAGATGTCTCTACAAGGACAGAGTTTCATTCTTAGCAACATCGTTAGGAGGCTCACAACCTTCTATAACTTCATCTCCAGAGGAACTGATGCCCCCTGGCCCCCACATGCCCCTACATAAATGTGGTGCAGGGACACACATATACACATAAAAATACGTCTGTAATTTCCCCCTTGGTGTTACCAATTTGTTTTATAACAACCAACCATATAGCAACATGGTGGCTGAGGAAGTGTAGAATTTTGGAAAAATGGTATGGAGGAGCGAGGAAGAGAAACAGGTCTACGTAGCTGGTATTTTCACAGAGAACCAAAAGATACCCCTTTCTAGTGACTAAAAGTGGCCAACCAGACCTAGACACTTTGTTTCCTTATTAAGAAGAATCTCTGCCTTCTTCTTTGGAAGAACAGTCTCACTATGGGCTGTGGCAGGTAAAATGCGCAGCAGCGGGATCTGTTGTCACATCCCTGTTGCAAGCCCAGCTGCTGACTGAAACTGTAAAGCGCTCTAAGGTCTTCACAGTGTGGAAAGTGGTTAGATGCGTCCTTGTACCCGAAGAACTCGGAAGCCTGGAGTTCCCTTTCTCTCTCTCTTTCAAAATACAGAAATACTTTATCTTATGCATTATGGGTGCTTTACCACATGTATGTCTATGCACCATGTGTATGCCTAGTGCCCAATGACATCAGAACAGGGCACCAGACCACCTGGAACTGGAGTTACAGATGTTTGTGAGCTGCCATGCGGCTGCTGGGACTTGAACCCGGGTCATCCGCAAGAGTAGCAGGGGCTCTTAATCGCGGAGACGTCTCTCTAGACACCCCCTTTTATCCTCCCAGTTTAACACCACTTCCAAGCAGATGAGGGGCTGAAAACAGAGCCGCGGCAGCTGCACTCAGACAGCTGAACTGGAGGTGACTGGTGAAAGGGGGGAAGCTGACGACTGTCTCCTGACCCAGGCAAGAGCCCGTGGATGGAATTTTAACAGGTGACGGGAACAGCATTCATAGAGTTAGAACGTGTTGGTGCTTGCTTTTGGTACATCTTCCGATTTCCTTTCAGCTCATCTTATACTTCTTGTGTCCCCTGTTGCCTTATATGTCACGGCTTTCCCTGGGTACCCAGTTAAACCTGCGCGATCTCCATCCATCCTCCCTCTGCCTCACAGTTCTTCCTCTTTCTTCTGCAAAGTACTCCCTGCGTGTTTAATTTAGTAAACACCTACCATGTGCCTAAGTGAGCTTGGTGTATAGTCATTAGTTATTCAATATCTGCTGCCTGAATAAGGGACTGCTACCTGCAGATGGATTTTGGCTCCTTCAATTTTAAAATTCAAATTTTTCCTCTTTGGCCAAACCTTTATTTCCCAGAGACGTTAAGGTATTAGCTTTGTGAAAATCATTATCCCATGAAGATAAATAATGACTGATCTTAGCAAGGGGACATTTTCACTTCAAAAATATTCTATAACTCTATGTCTACTAGATAAAATTTTTGAGCAGAGAAATTTTAAAGTGTTTCTTGCCTGTTTCAGGTCTTATCTTATTGTTCCTGCCTATTTTGGAAGAAAGCAAAATGCATGGAATAAATACTTCACCCTCATTATTCCTAATGGTGCAAGCCCTGGGAACTGTCCCATAGCCCTGAAAACTTTGTAAAATGGACCTTTGCCTAAACTGGAAACACAAGCAAGCTGTGAAGACTAAATATAAAATCTGACATCGAGGGGCTAGGGATACGGCTCAGTGGGCAAAAATTTGCTACCTGATGACTTTAGTTCAATACCTGGAATCAACATTAAAATAAAAAGGCAGATGTGATGCACACCTGTCCTTAGGTGAGGCGGATGCAGACAGAAGAACTGGCTGGAAACTCATGCGTCAGCTAGCCTGCAGTATGCTGTACATTGGCAGACACAGAGAAACCCTGCCTCAGACAAGAGAGGAAGAGGGAACAGACTCCCGAAAACTGTCTTCTGACCTCTATGTGAATGCCGTGGTATGCGTGCTTCCACACTCACACACACTATACATACGTGTACCAGTCTTAGAAGAGATCTGAGATTGAAAGCGTGCCATTGAATGCAGGCTCTAAAATACCTTTTCTGTCTTGTTCATCATCATCTTGGTCTTCATGTCTTTCCTTTCTTAATCTGGAAGGGACGTAGGAACTTGGAAGGTCAGGAATATTAGCATAGATATCCTCAATTGACTCTGTAAAGTTGATAGGAATTCAAAATACACGTAAGATATTTCTAATATTAAAACACGGCCAACGATCTTATGAAAATGATCTAGCTTCGACACGGAACAGGTGGCTCAAAAAACATACCTTCTGGGATTTCTTCCTTTTCCACCTTCACAGACTGTAAGATAAAAGATTTCCATGATAAGCTTAGTTTAAAAAGTCAAAATCTAAATATAGCAATACTTGGAAGGAATAACATTTGTGGATTCTTTTCAGGGGGAATCATAGCTTAACACTGAGTTACACTCACTCTTATTATGTCCTCCGTCGTCCTCTCAATCGATTTTAGCTTCTTTAGAATTGCCTCCTCATTGGCTGAGATTTGCAGTTCAGCCTTTTCAAGGTCTTGGATCTCTTTCTCAAGCCTGACAAAAAAAGGGACACATTTCTTTATGCTTAATGTGCTGAACATGCAGGGGTCTCAGATGCATCTTTTTCACATGCAGATTCAGGAGCCAGACATCTTCCAAGTATACTGCATCCCAGTGAGCGTCACGGCTTCACACCAACGATCACATCTAATACATAGAAGGTTCCAGACACTTAAGCAACTCTCAACCCAAGTCTGCTTACTTTTATTTTATTATTTTTAACATAAAGACGTCGCAAGTGTAAAAGTTAGTTTCGATTACCGGTTGGATTGAAGAGTACCAGGGTGTTAATGGGACACACCTTTGAGCAGGTCTGTGAGGGATTATCTTCCAGGGAGCTTTAACTGAGATGAGGAGACTCGCCGTACCAAGGACTGAGAGCCCCAGACTGAACAGAGACGGAAAAAGGAAAGCTAACTGGGCACCAACCTTCCTCTTTGTCTGTTTTCAATGTGAACAGCTACTCCATGCGGCTCCTGCTGCCGTGCCCTCCCTGCCACGACGGACTGCGTCTCCTCAAATCATGAGTTCCAATAAATCCTCCCTGTTTTAAGTTGCTCTTTGTCATGGTGATGAGAAAACTAACACATTAGTGATGCATTCGGCTTTGGCCTTATTGTCTTCGCTGCAATGATTACTGTTGTTTCCATAGAAACCAGGCTGATTTATTTTACAAAGAGACTTTTAAATGTGGTGGCACAGAGGTGATTACAGCACTCAGGAAAGGCAGAAAGAGTGAGGGCTGGAGGCTAGCCTGAGCTACAAACAATGCTGCTTCAAAGTGAGAGATGGAGGTAGGAAGGAGGGAGGGAGGGAGACAGAGAGATTAACTAAAAGAAGTGATACATTTGTAGTTACATTGTCATTTAAATTTTTTTACTCAAGTCTCCATATATTTAGAAAAGTATTATTGTTAAGTTTCACATAAAAACCATAGATATTTAATGAGTAAATTCCTCGCCTGTTTTATTTTTTTAGACAGGGTCTCACTATGTAGCTGTCACTGTACCACTGTACTGGACTCACTCTGTACACCAGGCTAGTGTAGGACTTACAGAGATCTCCTTGCCGCAGCTTCCCGAGTCCTGGGATTAAAGGAGTGTGTGCCACCATACCTGGTCCTGGCATAGTCTAACATCAAAAATTACATTGCTTGAAGCTCCTTGAGCACGGTGCTATTTTCTGAGTAGGGTGAAGAGATGAAGAAATGGACAAAATCCCATTTCTGTTACAGAGACCACATTTTCTGTGGGGTGATCACGGATGGGGGAGAGCTGGAGAGGGTGGGCAGGGAGTAGATACGTACAGCCTGATCGTGCATCAGGGAATTAGACGGAGTCGCGTTTGCAAATGGACTGTTTTACACACACACACACACACACACACACACACACACACACACACACACACTGAACTCACAACCAGCATTTGGATGCACCCCGGGATGTGTCGCCATGGCCTCTTCTCGGCAGGATGCCATGGACCCTGGCAGTTGCAGTGGCTAAGGCTGCCCTTCAAGCTATGAAACACGCGTAGTCTTAGCCAGACACCCTGAACTCGAAAGGCAGCTGCCTCGGAGGATGACTTATTTCATCCAGCAGCTGGCCCGAGAGATGACAGCTGTGGCTCCTCATGTCAGCTAACTAACCTAATCGTCAGTTCTCTTGCTTTCTTTCTTAAAGGTGGACATGGGCCTGGCTGCTCCCGAATCCTGGGCTATTGTTATATCAATAAAAATCCCAGGATGTGATTGTCTTGGCCGTTCTATTCATTGCGTTAACTGTAGGTTCTGGTATTGATGCTGCCTCTGGCCACCTTAGGCCATTTGTAGCTGGGAAGGTTTTCCTGCGCATCGTAGAACTTCAAGGGAATTATAGCACCCCTAGTTTCTTAGGAGTTGCTGGGAGAGTCCTGCCAATACAAAAATGCCTCCAGGTCTCTGGTAACAGTTTTCCCATCAGCAGAATTATAAAATGTGTGCTGAATTACGAAATGCATGTTGGTCCAGTTTGGTAGAGTGGAAAACCACTAAAAGTAATAGATCTGGAGTTGATAATTTTTGCTACACTTTATAAGTCAATTGCTTAAACCTCCTCAAAACTCAGTTTCGCAATGTGCATAGTGAGAACAAAATGCTGGCCTTGTTTTGCTCAGATGCTAGGTGCAGGAAGAAGAGACGATGGCAACGAGAGCCAGTTGAACATGGCAGGAGGCTGGCGTAAGCTGATTCGTGAGCGAGCTCTCGAGGCTCTCCACAACACATCCTAACTTCGTCTCCTCCCATCACCCACCTAAGAGCGCTCTTTCTAATATGTGTGCTAGACATGGTGTATAAAGGGGAACCTGGGCAGACATGAAGGAGGTTCGAATGACTGCTGCTCCCGAACCTTAGGACCCAACTGTGGAATGAAAGACAAGCAGGTTTGAATTCTGCTTCATCTGCCAACTTCCAGTGGAACCTAAGACTGATCACTGTCGTCATCCATTTACACATCCACATAAAAATGTTTATTTAGCGTCTTCCTTGTGCCAGGGACTATTCTATGTGACATGGATATGATTGTGAAAAATGAAGAAGCTGGCCATTCTAGCAAGGAACAACACATCAATTCACAGGCTGACAGGGTTGTTTTGTAAAAGACCTGATGCAAAATATTTTAGGTTTATAGTCCACAAACAGTTTCTGTTATTCATTCATCCATTTCCCCTTATTTTTGCTGTGCAACCCTTTAATTTGATAAATATACATGGGTGTGTCTCTGTGTGTGCGTGAATGTATGACATTCCTATTTTGTGTTCATAAAAGTACAGGCCAGAGTTAGATGGGTTCTAGGCCATAGTTTGCTAGCCCCTCCATTAACAAGTATATGTATGTATGTGTGTTTGTTTATGGATACAAACACCTACTTTCTTATATATACATACATATACATATAATAAATAAATGTGTATATAATCACATATATATTTATGTATGAAGAAAAATATTTCCTTGAAGAAAAGCAGAATAACTGATTACCAGGATTCAAGGCACGTAGCATCATTCAGGAAAGTCTCTTTAAAGAAAGGTTATTTGTGAAAATAAATGAGAGTAGGGCATAAAAATATACTTTCCAGAGAGCAGGGTACCTAAAAATCTTGAGGTAAGAGCAGAAAGATTAAGGAGGAAAGAACTGGTAAATGAGGGGAGACTACAGGACCTTGGGCATAGGTAGGTGTATGGACTGGAGGGTCAATTGCCTATCACTCTCAGGAGCTAAGCAAGGTCAGGCCTGGTTACTACTTGGATGGGAGACTGCACTGGAGAGGCAAGCATAAAAATCAGTTGTTAATAGTGTAGATGAAGATGGCCTAATCTAATCTAAGGTGTTTGCTGCTAGGAGGGTGAGAAATGATGATGTTCTGGAAATATTTAAAAGAGAGAGGTTCCAGAATTTGTTGATAGGTGTGTGTGTGTGTGTGTGTGTGTGTGTGTGTGTGTGTGTAGGGAGGGGGCATGAGAAGAAGGATGCCTTTGTTAGGACCCGAGTCACAGGAAACCTGCAAATGTGACATTTTGGGAGATGAAGGCCGGAGGCTCGTGGGCTTAGCTAAATCTCAGACAGTCAAGTGTGCTATGGAGGTGACATTCCTTTAGAAGGAGTAAGTATGTATAGCCATACACATGGGCAAGATGTCCTAGAAAGTAAAAGCGATAGATAAAAATTCCAAGCTTGAGACCTGCAGGATGGCATGGAGCATAAAGATGCTGCCAAACCCTGTAAACTGAATTCAGTCCTTAGTGCCTGTATGGTGGAAGGGGAGACCTGACTCCTGCAGGTTGCCCTCTGACCCCCCACAGGCACACGGCGACACCTGTAGATCCCCTACCACTTCCTCACAAGCAAATAAGTATGTATTTTTTTTTAAATGATCAGAAGTCTGGTCAATGTTAAATACTCATTAGGACTTAACCAAGAAACAAAAGAAGTAGAGAACATGGAATTGCTGACTTCTTCTGTCTCTGCCTCTGTCTGATTCAGTCCCTCGTCTGCCTGGCCTGTGTCATCTTGGTAAAATATGATGTGCACAGGTATCAGGTATTGTCTACCTTCCCCCACAAAGAAAAGGCAAATTACAAATAAGGTAATTCAGTATGAGTCACATGAATGGTTTTAAATAAGATGATAAGAATGGGCTTGCTAACCCCATAAGGTCTTTGCTAATAAATGTTTGTGAAACTTCTCAAGTCTCGGGTGAAAGCCGCATTACTAGGAGACGTCACTCTAAGGACACATCACAACATGTTAGAAAACGAAACAAAAGCGAATGCTTCCCTCCCAGGCCTCACTCCTTGGTTTCAACCAGAACAGTAAGAAAGTGTCTTGGTGGTAATTACTTAGAAGCCTCTGATGAGAGGAGCCTATTGATGGAGAATTTCTTTTGTAGTTTTCACTGGGTGCAAACTCAGCTTTTTATTATTGTACCTTGATTTCTCACGCACGTCTCTTATTTATGGATGTTACCTTAAAGAGATAAATGGTCAAGATTTTTTTTTTTTTTTCCTGGAAGCCTCCTAAAAGATCGGGAAGTCTGCTTGGTGGTGGAAATCTAAATAACAGTGACCAAGAATAAAGAACTAGAAATTCTCAGAGTCCCTACCCTTGCTTAGGATTCACCAGTATCCAAGAATGCAGACTCCCTATGTAGCAGGATGGTTGAGGGCAGTGTGGGAACACAGTCCCTGCTCCATCCCTTGCTACCTAGAGGGCAAAGACAGCTTGCTTGTTGTCACATTGCCTGTGCCACACATTATCATGAGCCCAACTCTCATCATATACGAAGAAGAATGTCCCTTGTATGACCAGCTTCCTTACCTCAATCACAGTTGCACAGATTACATATTAACTAAGCCTGCTTTCTCTTGGTGAAAGACCTTCTCTTTCCCTGAAAACCTTCAAGAGTAGATACCTTGCCTGGTCTGGTGGGACTGAAACCTCTTACTTTTGACATTT